TGGTACAGGACTTTTCCGTTCATCTCGATCCGTTCTACCTTCTCAAAAATTTTGTCGGATATGGAAAGACTCACCCTGTATATCAACTTCAACAACTCTCAAATAACGTGAGCATTAGCACATTTATCAATCTATTGTTTCTATAAATCATAATTCGTTCTGAAATTGGATTGGATTCCTAAATCACATTGATAACTTTAAAAATTGGAATAAATTTCGCATACATATTGAATAAACAATAAAATTAACACTTTAGACTGGAGATACTAATTTCTTGTGTTAAATTGTCTCGCGTTATTAAATTATTTTTTGTTTAATTTAAAGAATCGCGTTATTTAAGGGATAAAATTATTATTTTCCACCGATTTGGTAATCGTATGAATACGATGTGACGTATATAAAATGAGGTATTGACTCGCATTTAAATGATTAAGCGAGAAAAATTATACAGTCGTAATGTGAAAAGCGAGGGATAAACCGCTGGCCCATATCATGTTCACCAGTGCCTACTAATGCCCACACTGATAAAAAAATATCTTAATCCAAAAAAATAGTACTTTACTCAAGAAAATTATTTATTAGGTGGCTTCTAATAGCTTATTAACTTAAATTTACAAAATAATAAACAAATTAAAACATGCATTTCTTTAAGTATTTATTAAATATCAAACTGTAGATAATTTTAAATTAAAAAAAATTTACTTTAATTCTATAAAACGTCTACTAAGATATAAGTTTTACAGCGAAGAAAATTGGATTTCTTATTTGACAAAAACAATCATTTTATTTAATAAATAGTATTCTCTATCTCATGAAATCTTTAATTGAATGTAGAAAATGTAATAATTTAAACTAATTTACTTAATATAAAACACCGATTTACTTACAATTTTATATTTTTATTTAAATAGATTAAATATTTATTCAGTAAAACAAATAATTTTAAGTAAATCTATTTACTTAGTTTAAAAAATTTTTTGTGTCAGTGTAGTGGACATTACTTTATCTAAGTATCTTATTTTATATTATTTATCTTATTTTATCTTTGTGATGCCCCAGCAAGGCCTAATGCCCAAACCAATGTCCAAAAATGCCTAGTAATGCCCAGTAATGCCGTAAATCTGTACGCCACAACGCCCTCAGCGGTTTACCCGGTTTACACCTCGGTGAAAAGCATTAAATGGGAGGTAATTGCGACAAACATCGCGTAACTATATGAATATAAAGCACTTTGCAAAATCAATTTCCGCAGCGCGTTAGCATTACGATTGTATAAAACGATAACTAATTGCGAATATAAGTCACTTTATCGCCCACCCAATTTACTCAATACGGAAACGTGTATTGAGAATGAAATGTACGTTATTAATTCTTGTTATTATTCGATAACAATGTCTTCCATAATAATTCTTGTTAATTATTTCCACGAAAAATATGATTTGTTCGACATTCCTTTATTTTCAGAGAGAAATATGTGCGAGTTCGGTGATATATTAATGCAAATTGGCGACACGCTGGAGCAACTTCAGCCCTCTGATTGCGTTATGTGCATTTGCCAAGTACCGCCCGTTCCGACGTGTACATTTTTGTCGGACCAGGGATATTGTTATTTCGCAGGTATTGTTCCTCCTCGTCACGAGGACGTACAACCCGTTACTCGTCCTCACAGGGAGAAAAATGTATAGGTATTAGTATATAAGAATTTGTGCACCAAACATCCGCTCGATGTTTCTGAACTCTAAGATATTACAATTACTTTTGTTACGCGGAAAACTTTGTTATACAATTTTACTCGAATATTTTTAAATATAAGGACATATGTACATGAATACTTTTATATACAATTTTATAAACTGTACATTAATAAATGCTGCCATCCATGATAAAAAAAGTTTTCTTTGTTGTTTATCGAAAGATCTTTATCGAAAGAAATTGCTAGAAGTTTCCAGCTTTTTCCTTCTTGTATCATTAAAGAGGTGTGAAAATCACATGAAATAAAGATAGTGATTCGAAAAAATTTTGGAAAACTTAACAAAACACGGGACATCTAACGGAAATTTGAGGCCAGATAATTCCTTTCAACACAATAATTACGTAATCCAAGTGGCACTCAACGCACAAGATCAGATGAACCATGAGAACCAAAAATAACGAATTCAAATTTCAAAAAGCTTACGAGAATAAATTGCGAATTCAAGTTTTGGCTCTAGGAAGACGAGAAAGTTTAATTTTTCCATTTGTGTTTTTTTCATAAACCAGAATAATAATTACGGTTAGGGAACAATGATGATTTTCACAGTCTCTTCTCTTAAGATTAATTTTTAATTGCGCGCGCTTTTAGACTCGCGAATCTTTACCCTCCTGGATAGATAATGCATCAGAGAAATATCACAATCATAAAATAATGAAACCCATATCACGCCAGTTCTCTATCAAGTTCAAACGTGAACACCGTACACATGTACGTAATTACTTACAAATTTAAAAAAGGAGTAAGATCTCCGAAGCGCGAGTACACAGTTGGAAAATTTGTGTTTTCTTGTTAAAAAAAATGCCAGTCAAAATTTTTGTGTTAAATGTTCGACACATTCATGTGTTAATTTAACATATTGCTCTTGCGTTAATTGACCTCAAATGTAAAATTATTAAAATATATAACTGGAAAGAAATGTTGACAATGTGTACTTATTTTTTAATCTTACACAATTCATATGTTCTATATTATTAGTAACAAGATTTATCTGTTAAAATTTACAGAATAAAACGTTGATTTCATTGTATATAACGTAAGTGAAAGTGATTTTGAACCGTTACATCTGTAAAGTGTAAAAATTACATCTTAAAAAATTCATTTCGTCATTAAAAATATGCAAGGTTGAGAACGTGACCTTAAAAAAGTAACGCGTTACCGTTACTTTTTGTAAAAAGTAACTCGTTACTGATTTTTAAAAATAACGCGTTACCGTTACTTAAAGGTTCGTTTTCTGTTCCTGCACTGGTGAACTAGTGCAATAAATTAGAGTAAGACAAGTATATATTTTCTCATTCTAGCTTACTGCACTAGTTCACCAGTGCAGGAACAGAAAACATACCTCTAGAAAGTAACGATTCGTTACTTTTTTGAAACTTCGTTACTTTTTGTTGTTTGCCAATATTAAACAAGGATGAAACGATTCACAGTGTTACACTGTGCCCTTGCTGGAAAACGCCCACCGTTACAGACATAAAAAGTAACGACCGTTACCGAAAAAAAGTAACGAAAATGGTAACGGCGTTACAAGTAATGCGGGGTCTACAATGCGAGTCGCAGAGTCGTAGTCGTAAGAATAATCGACTATGATTGGTCAATTCTTATGTGTCTAACGAAATTGACCAATCGCAGTCGATTATTCTTACGACTACGACTCTACGACTCGCATTGTAGTCCCCGCATAACGCGTTACTTTCCAACCCTGAAAATACGTTAGTTTTACACAAAATTGATTTCCAATTATTTTGAGATTTGCATTGATTTTATGTTAAAATATTAACAGAGTATTAGATGTGATTATTTGACGTATTGTTAAATTAACACAAAAATTTGCGTCGACCGTTCGGGACATGCGATATCTGTTAAAGCTTCCGCTACAATGATTCTCGGTTCTGTCTACAATGGTCGTAGTCGTAAGAATAATCGACTGCGATTGGTCAATTCTTATCGAGCGACTACGACTACGACCATTGTAGACAGAACCGAGAATCATTGTAGCGGAGGCTTAAATGTATTACAAATTTTCCAACTGTGCAATTAAGGTTAGAAAGAAAATCAGGACTTACCGACACGATGCGTGGCGGCGGTGACGGCGGCGATGTCTCCCAGACGTCTCCTCCTCCTCTCAGTTTCCTTCCGGAAATCCTGCACACAACACTGGCACAACACCACTTCCGAAACCGGTCGATCAGTATCGCGCGCGAACTAACGCCTCGTCTACATAGAAGTCGCAAAGTCGTAGTCGTAAGAATAGTCGACTATGATTGGTCAATTCTTATGTGTCTGACGAAATTGGCCAATCGCGGTCGATTATTCTTACGACTGCGACTCTGCGACTCGCATCGTAGACCCCGCATGATCGTCCGAATACGAAACGCGCGGCACAATTCGCGGAACGTGCACCTGTCACTTGTCGCAAAGGAATCGCGAAGGAATCACAGCAGGTTCTCGTAATCGGCACAGTTGCCAGTTGACGCGCACAATCAATCCTTTCGGAGACGAGGAACGTCCGCAGGTCGTCGATGCACGAAAGCGCGCCAATTCGCGCGGTTAACGTTGGGCATCGGATCTCAATCGCGGCGATGCCGGGATACTCACTTATCGACGAGCTGTCGGCCTCTGCGTGTATCAATTGCGGGGAGTAGTCAGCCCCGCGTTAGTTCGATACGCTGGTCGTCCGTCGATCCCGCCGGAAATCGCGGGTGGACGTCTCGAACGGTAGGCGTCCCCGCGCCGCCCGAACAGCTTCTTCGTTTTCAAGCGGCGGTTGTCTTCCAGTTGTCCTCCAAGGTTGTCGTCGAGGCTCGATCCGACGGACACGGTGGGCCGCGCGTGAACGGCGAAACTCGGTTCAACGACGACGCGCGTCGCGGGAAAAGATACGCCGAGCGTCCACCGCGCCGCGACGACCACGATATGTGCGCGCGTGGAAAGATGCGGAATCAATCGGCTGAATCCAACGGCAAGTCCGGGGCCGGCCAATCGCAGCCGAGATTTTCAAACGGCAGCCTCGCGCCTTCCGTGATTGGCCGCGATTCGGCCGCCGGCGTTTCAATCGCGCCGAGACATCCGCGGCGGAGAGAAGTCCGAGAGCTGCCACGGCCGAGTTTCAAGCGATCCTTGAATGCGATGCGTTCTATGTGGACGTCAACTACGCGGCCGATGTCCATGCTAATTGTCGCGATGAAGAGGTAAGTTCAAGTTAGCCAGCGCTCGATCCCTGAATGTGCACATCCCAGTCAGAAGTTACTCGTCGATCGACGTTAATATGGCGGTTTCGATGTCGACGCGACAGCGTTTCGGCGTCGATCGACGAGTTATTGTAAGTATATGTCTTGCCCGGCTAACCGAGCATCGCTGGCAAATCAATTCGCGGGGATTCGGCGACCACGCGACGATACTTGTGAGCACCGATTTCACGGCGCGATTGAAACGTCGGTGGTCGAGTCGCGGGAGACGCGAGAGGGAATATAATACGGTACGCGGAGCGGCGCGGGCCACCGAGCGACTCGTACGACCGTCGCCGCGCGAATGATCCCGCGTACGGCGGCGTAAACACCTCGGGCAAAAAAAACGCCGAGCGCGCATTCCAACAAGTGACGTAGGGCCATAAACCGAATTCCAGGAAATGAGTGACGCTGTAAACAACACTCGCCGATCGATGGTTCCGAGAAATGACGTAGCGCCGTGTATGTATTGTATGTACATACATACACCTCGGTCGAAAACAATGTACTGAGCCGAATTATACGGCGCGGATCAGTCGATCGAGGCAGATGTTCCGTGTCTTCGCGACGCGATCATTTCCTTTCCGCGGGAATCTCGATCGTCTCCTACGAGTTAACGTTGATCTATTGAAGCAATTGCGATCGGTAATCATATCGTTGACTTGTACAGTGATTTGTCGGGATGAATATCACGCGTAATTTAAAGGGAAAACGCGATAAAGGAATTACGTATATAAATTATTAGTTCCGGTTCTTTACTTACGCCCAGGAGTGATACTTAAAAATGTTCGTTGGTTCAAGTTGAACATTTATAACTTTCGGATGAAAAGCGCGAGATGATACACGAATCGTCGCGTAAAAGAATAACGAGAAATTGTAATATGTCGATCGCCTACCAAGAAATAATATCTAACAATTACTCGTATAATACAAAAGTGCGCGTACAACATAATAACATAATAATAGCGCGCGTTCGGGTGTGCCGTTTATTATAATTAATCGAACCAAAAACTTTTCAAAGCCCATTTGAGTAACGACCCTAGCGGAAAAAATTCTGGCAGTTATATTTAATTCTTTTGTAGAATTTTGTAGAATTATTTCCGGCAGGGGAGTATTCGTTAAATGTCAATTCCTGTCGATGGCCACACTTCTGAGTTTCGGCAATTTTTGGGGCTCGCATTAAAATGCTTTTGTTCATGGATACCGTGTGCCTCAACTTACTCGTCGACTCGGAGTGGAGGCGAACTTGACGGAATTACAGAATACTGTCGCACGGGCTTTACACACGGCCGGGAGTGTAAAATCGCGAGTGTGCCGGAGGACAGTCTGAGTGGAGGAGGAGGCGGCCTAAAAAAGCCTGGCTGAGGTAATATTTGTCCCAATAAATTCAAAAACAAGAAATATTTAGACTAACATCTTGTCACGGCTCTTTAGTCTTCATTCCTTCGAATTGGCGTTCACCACACGAGAGCCTTATGAATTTTATTGATTTAGAATTCAGTTTAACCCATTGAATCCCAAGCGGCCTCATTGCCGACCAGTTTTACGAAAAGTAATTCATTTTAATGATGAGTATTTTTCATAAACGACCTACACTGGCCAATGCCTTTATTTATTATAAAAACGACGTTTCGGTCCTGGATTTGGACCCTTTTCAAGTGATCTGTTACTTAACGAACGATACGAGATCAGGGATAATTAAGTAACAGATCACTTGAAAAGGGTCCAAATCCAGGACCGAAACGTCGTTTTTATAATAAATAAAGGCATTGGCCAGTGTAGGTCGTTTATGAAAAATACTCATCATTGTTTCGAATTGCTGGCGATATCATATTTACCCCAAAATAATTCATTTTACTTCCAAATCGCTAAAGACGTTGCTTACGTTCCGGTGTCTGCGATACAAAGTGAAAGAAAATCTCAACGTTTATTCTCTTTCTTACAGAGTGCGAACAATTCGCAAACGCACTATTCGACATCTTTTACATTTACGTCAGTCCATTTACAGTGTGTGGAAAATATAAGATATGTACACGCTCCACGCCTCGCTTCATAATGAGTCTCTCTGTTACAGTGCGCGAGTCCTCCCACTCTTTTCGACATTAATATTACGAAAAGGAAGCGCGCTCCTCATCGGGCACGATCAACGATTCTTCACGCCGGGCAGATCGAGCTTTTTCCTCTTGGCGTTCGTCTTTGACGTCAGAGCCGGCAAGGCACAGCCCTTCGATTGAGGGATCAGAAGCCCTTTGTGCTCCAGCCGTCGAATGTACGTGGTGTTGGGTATCACCGAGACCGGCCCGAAGTAACGTAATTCGCGGGGCCGGTTTATCTGCAGCTTACTCGCGGCATTCGCGTTAACTCGATCTCCCGGCGAGTCCTCGCTTTCCGTGGCTTCGAGCTCCACGTTGTTCGCCGCTCGCCTCTCTTTGATTAACGTCATCTGCCATCTGAAAAGTGTACGAATGAAAAGTAAGATAATATCATGAGAATCCCTTGGGAGAATTTACTTGTGAAATTGAAGTTTTTAAAAGTATCCTTTCGAATCTAAAAGAGTTCACTTGAAGAAGTTTAAAGTTTACTTAAGAAATGTTTAAGTAATTTTGGACACTTGAGGTAATTTTCAGATAGCCAAGCCTGTCGAAGTTCTTCTTTACTAACTTCTCTCTTTACTTCGTAAGAAGAAAACCGTACGCGGTATTATAAATTATATCACACACCTTTCATAAACACTTTTTTTTTTTAAGTTTTCCTTTAAATTCTTAAAGTAAGTTTTAAGTGTCCAAATTTACTTTTCATATTTCTTATTTTTCTAGAGTAAAAATTTCAAGGTTTCCTAAGGTATATTTTCTCAAGAGATAAACCGTAATTTTATACGCGGAGAGAATGTTTTCTTAAAACGTATCCTGAAAATCACGTAATCGTGGGACGACGTGGCATCTCGGAGAATTTTATGAGTTTTTTGAAATTTTGCCACTAGCAAAATGTGTACTAATTGTAAGTATAATTACTAGTAAAATGCATGGTAAAATTTCAAAAATTCTCATAAAATTCTTGAAAATGCCGTGTTGTCCTACGATTACATGATTTTCAGAGTAAATTTTAAGAGAAAATTCCCTCCGTGTATCCGTTTTACATATTCCTAATTTCTATTTGTTAAAATCTTTACAATTCAATTACGCATGCATTGTTTTCAATGCAATATTCAGCAACTTATTCTTCACTGCTGGAATTTCTTATTTTTCAATTCGTTACTTAAGCTAAACTAACAACTTGCTAACGTTAGATTAACTCGTCATTAGACGAACCTTCCGATGCTGCTGCGGCAGATCCTGGAGGACGTTTCCGCTCTCTTGGTCCCGAGCAGATTCATCGCGGATTCTTTCGCGACGACTCGCTGCAGTTCACCGAGGAATCTGTCGGCGAAACCGTCCTGCGAGAAAAACGGATGCTGCAGCAACGCGAGGCACTTCGGTCTGGTAGCGGGATCTGTGCGAAGGCACTGTGTCAGAAAATCAATCGCCATCGGGCTCCACGATGGAAAGAGACTTCGGAGAGCCACGGTTGTGGACCGCGTTAAGCCAGGAACCTCATCGGTTTTCGCGTGCCGGAGTAGGAGTACATGTTTGCCGCTACCGTTCGCCGGCTGCTTGCCGTAAAGAGGACCTGTTTTCGACAATATGTTGCCAGATGAATACGCGAAATTTAATAGAGTGGCCTAACTAACTGTAAGTAACTCGTTGTCTTCATTTAGCAAAAGCTCTAAATTTAAATGCCGCTTAGTATTAGAGCCTTAAGTATTAGAGGAAAGTCCTTTATTATGAAATAGATTTCTAATATGAGATAGCAGATTTTCAACACCCAAATTCGATCAACACAATTCTTTTTCGCAACGGCTACACAATCTAACAATGAATTTTCCACTAAACAGATTTTGCTCTATGAGCAGTAAATTCATGGAATCAACTGATGATGCCTATTAGTTTAACAGAAACCCTCTTCTATCTCTTAATAAGAGGCTTTCCTTTATATTTTTAAATTAAATGTCTGAAATTCCAAGACCGGTAAAGTGAAAACTCGCTGGTATCGTTTATGAAGATCTCAATAACGCAAATCTCACACATGTTCTCCGAATCAAAAGTACAAGTTCATCTCTGAAATTAAAGTAAACTCGATTGTTTGACTATCGAAATTTCTTCACCGATCGCCATTCGGTCTCTTCACCCCCAACTCACCGAATACCTTCGTGATGCGGTACAGCTGGTCCACATCGCTATCGCCGGGGAAGAGCGGCTGGCCGGTGATCATCTCGGCGTAAATGCACCCGGCCGCCCACACGTCGATCTCTCTGCCATATCTGGAATCGCCGACGAGGAGCTCCGGCGCGCGATACCATCTCGTCGCCACGTAATCGGTACAGGACTCGTTGGGTCCGGTGACGTAGCGCGCGAAACCGAAGTCGCAGAGCTTGATCACGCCGTTTGGCGATACCAGGACGTTCTCGGGCTTCACGTCGCGATGCATGATCTACCAAAAGACAAATCTTCTGTCTTATTCAACTCAGGAAAATGAAACTAATAATTGAACTTTTGCGAGACCAATTACATATATCGATGAACTCGTATTTTTGTTGCTGAAGCAGACAAAGAAAGAGAGGTTTCTAAAATTAGAAAGAACAATAGGAGATACCAAATTAATTATGTGACAGTTTAAAGTGCAGATAATACAACATTATGGAATTCTCATTTGAATTGTAATTGCAAACGGGGAGACGCGTAATGTTTTCCGTACGATAGAACTTACCGAGTCGAGCTCGACTAAATACGGCAACCATTGCCCTCGTTTGTTACAATGCTATCATTCATTAGGTATCCGACGGTCGCGTGTTACTACACATGCACGGCTTACTGCAACTTGGAATTTAAGCGTCACGGCCGTGAACTTTACCGTAATGAAGGCATACTTACTGCCAAAGGTTGCTGATGTACGAAAATACATCAACATGCGCATACACACATATTTTGTATCTGTTAAATGTACAAATTAATCGAAACTCCGGCACAACATGTAATCTATCTTTATTTCATGATTTTAAATAGCGCAGGTGATCGTTACGAACTTAAAAGGAATTTATTTTTACAATTCTTTATGAATTAGTATAATCTATTCAAAATGAACTCCAAAAGAATTTCTTTCCGGTACGAATTCTTATAGAGTATGAAAAGAATTCCAAAAAAGAGCTCAGAATGAAATCTTGATGGTATAAGTTCGTTTAAGAATGTTTTGGAACAGAAATCAGATACAGAAAATTGTATTTCATAATTCGGGAATTCGAAAAGAATTCTTTTTCAATTCTCTGTGCAATTTGAGATAACAGCCACTTTTGACTATTTTATATAACTTTCTAAAAGATTAAATTATACGAAGAAATGACAATCTATATTGCCCAAGATTAATGAAAACGTTTAATTTTTTTAATTCTTTATGAATCGGTATAATCTGTTCAAAATGAACTCCAAAAGAATTTCTTTCCGGTGCAAATTCTTATAGTGTATGAAAAGAATTCCAAAAAAGAACTTAGAAGGAAATCTTGATGACATAAAAGCGAATGCAGATTGTTTTATATTTTTTAAATGCAATAACGCGGAATTAAAACAAATTGCAATTGATTTTTCAAAATTTATTTCATGCAACTCTAGAAAAATCTCAATGTAGCGACGAAATAAAAAGCATTTATCCGCAATTAAAGTAATTACAATGGGAAGATTTCTCTATGCTGCAACAAGAATATAACTTACAATTAATCAGGTTCGGAGTTTTGCTTACTTTGTGATTGTGACAGAAGTCCAAGCCGCGAAGTATTTGGAAAATATATCGTCTCGATTTCTCCGAGTCGAGGCCATTTTCACTTTCCTCCAATTCGTCGAGCACGGTGTGATCGAGATACTCGAACACGAGATAAAGCCGTTTTCTTCGGCGAAACACCTCGATCATGCACACCAGATTCTCATGACGTAATTTCTAAATGATACCGCGTTGTTTAATATTGAGCAATGTCTCAAGTAATAAACGCGAGTGATTCATATAGTGATATCAAGAAATAGTGTTTCACTTGTTGGAAAACAATTGAATGAGATTTTCACCTCGCTTACAAATTAGTTCTTAACAATAATGCAAATCTTAGTAATTAATACCGACCTTTAACATTCTTATTTCACGAAAGGCCATTTTTCGCACCTGGACATCCTCCTCTGTTTCCAAGAACTTTTTTATCGCCACTATTTGCCCGGTTTCGCGATGCCTGCACTTCATCACGAGTCCGTAACTTCCCTCGCCCACTATCTCGATATTTTCATATTTCTCCATTTTGCCCGCAAAATTAAAGGGGAAAAATTTTATGAACTTCTTCCGTTAGTAATAAATCGTAAACTTTTTGTTTTCATGAAGATTTACACGCTGAAAAGCATATCGATCAGTTAATCGTGTTACTGAGTGAATTAGTCAAAAAGTCATTACTTCTAAATTAAGTCAATTTTATCATTTGTTTCACCTCTCAAATAATAGTGTTAAATTTATCGAATTTTGCACCACAAACGAATTTTCGATCAAATCCATCACTTTAATGCCGTTTTATGAGAAATGTTTAAAATGTACTACGAACTAAAGCAATGGCATGCAGATGCGACAAAGTCTCGGTCTTATGTATATTTGGTACGATCGAAGAAGCCGCAATTCTTAATGTTGCCTCGCTCGCCGACGAGCCTGGACTGCTCCGAAGAGCCTCGTGCACGGCCCTCATCGATGATTATCGATCTGCCGGTAATTAGTAAGGGGTGGTCCTCGCTCGATGAAAGCACAGGTGAACCGGTTAAAGGGCGGGGGGGCGGGGGATCGAACATCAGAAAGAAAGGACACTTTTGTCGGCAGTCCGTGACACGGAATAAATAGATATCGACATGTTTTAGTTTCGAGCGCGGGATTTTCTGCCTAATATAATAAATTTTGCGAATTGTGTCCTTATGCTTTCGAATCGCACATCGATTATTGCTCGCTAATGAAACCGTCAATAGTTTTATGTCGAGGCTGAAAACGTAATATCACATTAATTTACTTATACTTTTAATATTTCTTTATCACATGTCACGCATATCAATCGCTACTTGCGTGTTAATAATAGTACATTTTTTTAATTCTCTTATATACTTTCAGGGAAAGTCAGATTATCTATTAATTATATCAACGTTTTAAAAATGAGACAGACAAGGACGGATGTGAATATAGATAAAAGAAACGTACACCAGACGCTGCGATAATATCACAATGAATTATCACGCACATTCCGAGCGGCATTATAAGAACGTAAGTAGTCCGAGCTTTGATAGTGATGAGAGCATTCAAGCTCCCGAATTTTCTGATAAAATAAGAAGAGAAGACGTGAAACGATGTGAAAATCAAACGAGCTGGTATAAAACGGAATCAAAATTGTAATTTTTAGATACGCGCGGCCCGAATATTATTCCGACTGTTGCAACTGTCGCGAGAGTTCGCAACAGGCCTAATTATTTAAGACATACTCAGCACTTCGCAACGTTATACGCGCCCTCAAAAAAATTGCAATTAAGCACAACTCATTGTACTCCACGGGCACATACAATTTCTTGCAAATTCCAAGTTCGTCGTAATACCTCCGGCCTGTTCCACCAGCAGTAAAAGTCGTGGTATCGAGTGCATCAGGTCTAACAACCTGGTCGTGCGCGCTGCAAGTCTAAAATTCCGCCAGCGCTTTTATTGTAACGTCACCGGCAACGATTTTACGCCAGACGACTGGATGAAGGCTCGATTCTGTAAATAAGTAAGTTTCTTTTACGATAAATGTTTCACGATCCGTGCGTCGTGTCTCCTAGGAGTCCAACCCCTTAAGACGGAAACGAATCCTGATCAACTGTGCTCCAGGTGACACAACACGTGCGCGACACGACGTATTGCCAGGATAAAGACTCAACTTTGTTGTGTCAGACGTGCGATTTTAGAGGAAATGAAAAATCGTTGAAATGTGAAAGCAGGAATTTCGGCTCATCTCGATTCGATCCTATCGATGGCAACTCGAGCGATCGTTCAGACGAATGCCACTTCCCCGCTGTCGTGTCAAAAACGATTCGCGCCATAGCGATTTGTTGCCGCAACTCGGTGAGTATAATCGATACACGCGAATAGCAATTGGAGTTTATTTATAGATGAGTTCGGTGACTCTCCTTGATATCGTGACCGAAGGCGCAGCCGACGGTCCTTCAATCGACAAACGCGATTCCGACATTAAATAGTAAAAATATCGAATATGCAATGTGGAACGCGTCTCTTATATCGCGGCACATTTATCCTTCATCGAGCCTTTTCTAGACGGACAATAAAGAGCATTCTCTGTGTCGGCTGTCACGCACGCACGTCACATACAATTGTAATTATTTACAATTCGTGACGAAATGCATCATTATCAATTATTCATAATAATTTATAAAACATGCAACGGTCGAGAAATCTTTTTAATTTGTAGTGTATTGAGTAAAATGATAAAAATGCTGAATAATATAAGATAATATTATAAGACATCTAGTGTTTCCTATCGAGAAGTCTTTCTCGAGAAATTCTTGAGAAAAACCGAAGATTTAAATTTTGCACGTTTCGAAAAATTGCTATTATTTCTCGAGAATTAGAAAGCGCGCTTCTTACAAGTATATCTCATTTCATAAGCTCTGAATCACGCTTGCGCTGAACGCATACGAATCAGATATTCACGAAAGAACTTAGTATATTTAAAACAACTGGTACGAAAATTCAAAATGTGCAACTTTTTGATGCGCCGTCTATAATTAAATCGACTTCCACGCAAAATAAACGCAATTTTTCAAGGATTTTACTACAAAAAAAATATTTCGACTGACAGACGCAACACTAGAATGTAACTAATTTAAGTTAATTAACGTCTTAAAAGGTAAAAGTTAAGTTAATTAACTTTTTAACTTAACTTTTACCTTTTTAACTAGACACTACGCAACCCTGCGCTTTCTAATACTCTATATAATTTTAATCGCGATCGAAGTAATAGCGTATACCGGAGACCCGGAAGTGCGGATATCCAAGGGCCACCGGGACGCATCCAGAACTGAATTATTCGATGGACATCGTGCGTGGACTGGCGCGTCCGTCGAGCCACGTGGGCCACGACCATGAAGAAGCTACGCGAGGCGCGAATCGATCAAGAGCGGCAAGAAGAAACCGCCTGAGTCGGGGGTCCATTCGGAGGCGCCGTGTCGGTCGAGAGCAAGCACGGAAATAGACGCACCACATGGCGGGGCTCGGCTCCTCGACTCTCTCCGCTCCCTGCATGCACGGTCCATCCTGCCTTTACGCGTTCGCTCCGTACGCATTCGTCAGTCGCGCGTCTCTAGCGTTTCCCAGATCGTCCCCAGTTAATATGACGCACTGTGAGCGCGTCGTACTCGGACCACGGGCGCGCTCGTCGCGATTGGGGTCCGTTTCGAGCCTCGTGGGCCCAGTCCGGGGAGATTCCCGTCGGGGAGACGCGTAAAAATCGCGCGAGCTTCGGCTGTAACTTCGGATAAGTGAGAGATACACAAAACACACCGACGCGTGCGAACAATGCGAAAATTAGTTGTTCCTTACCTCACGGAGATCGGATTGAGCGGTCGACATTAATATGCGAGTTGAAAACGCTTCGAGTGGTGACTTTGACGCGCGTAATCTCACGGAAAATGGACGTGAGTCATATGCGGGTTGCAATTTCACACTGTCGCGACACTGATAACGTAGAACCACGTGCTTTCATTTCTATAAAAGTAATACGGTTGCAGTAACACGGTGGCCCTTCTGCGACCTGAAATCGATGAAGAGTGCACGACGTTCTGCAATACGGCCGCAAACGTTGAAACGTGATCTCGCAAGCGAAAGATTATTCGTTAATAATTCAGGACGTAGTTCAACGGCGAGACTTTACCGTCTGGATTGACACTCCCGCCGTTGCTAAGGGCAAGAAATATCAAATCGTGAGATTTCAAGGAAGCCGCGATGTGTGTACCAGAATACGCATCCCGGTAACACATGCAGACGCGAGATTTATCCAACATGTGCGTGAGAGCGCGTAAAAGCGTAGAAGTTAAGCGCCCGTCTTGAAGAGTCCGTCCGGAAGAAGATGACACTTTTCCGAGAACCGTTATATCGGGAGAACGACTGGAGGTGAAGCGACCCGACGAAATTTCGTAGCGAAAATCCAGAGGGGGAAGAAGAGAGAGGCTTTTGAGGCGTATCTGAAGTTGCATTGCGATTGTAGTATCTTCACTCGATACCTTCTTTATCAAGTATCTCCGGTTTCACGATGGTGCTCTCGAATTGCATCGATAATTCTACTTGAACGTCGCAGAAATAATGATACTTTATAAAGATTCGCGGTGCCAATTCCAAAGTTAGAGCCATTTGCGCCAGTCATCGGAGTGGACCATCGTATTATCGATTAGAATAAAATTTTAAGGAATGCCAAGAAGCTGAGAAATATTAGCAATAACAGCTTAACATCTCTTTCCTTGTAATCCCGGAAGATTAATGAAGAGATAGTTCCCGACGAGACGAGAGGCAAATGGAAAGGACGCCGTCCGCAATCAGGGACAGGGAGATGATAAACGATTACCGAAGGGAATTGTCGTCGGTGACACAAGACGACAACGGCACCCGGAATCGATAAACTTGCGAACCGATTAGATAAAAATATGGCCGCTTGCCATTCGACACCTGCTGTGCAACGCCTGCAGTTGCAGGACTCGACTCGGATCGGCTACAGCGCGATCAACGGCATAGGTGCTTCGAGTCAGAAGACTCTTCAGCAATCAGCCTACCCGCCGCATCTACTCAATTGGGTCTACCTGGCCATCGCGGAGCAAAATCCGTCGCAACCACCTGATCAGGTAGCCGATCACGAGTCATCATTGAGATCGATTAAGGATTGATTCATTAATCGTTTGCCTTAGGGAAATCGCAGGAAACAAAACTTATTTTCACAGATCGTCTTAAATTTTTAAAAATGGCCATTGTTCGTCGGAGAACCTAATACGGACTTGTCTCAATCAGAAAAAGTAATAATGAAAATGAAACATCTATCAGACTGGAGGGAAGCTGGGCCATTTGTTATCTGAAGCCGTCTTTTAAAATAAACGAGCCTGCTGTTCTAAATAAATCGTCGATTGGATTATCTGTTTATATTTTAGAGCAAGCTGCTCCCTGCGGTCTGGAACAATTTCCCTGGTACGACGTCGCAGGCTTATCTACGTCAGAACGCGTTGAATCCGTCCGGATCCGTCAGACCCATGAGTGATAGCGGAGCGGAAAGTATCGCGGATCTAGCGGTACACTTTAACGAATTAGCTGTAGGCGAGCGGAAACCGGCGAAGAAGCCGCCGCCAACATATCTGTGTCACTTGTGCTTCAAAAAAGGACACTACATCAAGGATTGCCCGCAGGTCGGTTGTTTCTTTTGAGATCTTTGAATATCCCTGTTCTAATAATATGAACTGTACATCGACGTCCTCAAACTTAACTTTCAATACATATTTTGGAAAATCGATATTTTCTCGTTTCTCAGTACTTCTACAGCGCTTCCGTATTTTCTACTATTTTATAATTGTTTAAAATGCTTTACAGACAATTAGGTTATACAATACACAATAATAATAATTCTGTAAAATACAAGTGAAAATGATATATATCGTAGAACATTTTGAACAATTTGCAATCAGTAATTTTGGGGTAACTGATAGAAAACTCAGGTAATGATTGTAATAGTGAATTGAAGTCTGAAGTTAAATGCGTAGGTAGAGCAAGTGGTAGTAGCAATCGAACGTAATCTTTGTGATATCATATGATTCGATTCCAAGATTTTAAGATTTCAAGATATGATTAACTATCATCTATCATCTGATTCATGGAAATCTTCGATCGATTATCGTGCAGTATTTCATCAACACCTACAATACGACCTACAATACGACGATGTTTTAAATGGATCTTATCAGATCTTTATTACAAGAACATAAAGACCGGTTAATTGGATAGATCATTGGTTGAAGCATTGATTGATGAAAAGAGGATAAAAATTAAATAGACAACTTGTGCTTCGATACGTTGAGTTCAAATCATTAACATGTCTCAAATTTCAAATCGAGAAGTATCTTCATCATCGTCACGTCTTTCATCGTGTTTCTTTTCTATTGTTTAGTTAGCATATATTCTAAAATATGTATTGTTTTTAACATTCCTGAGCTATGAAATGAGTCCTTCTTCCACTTCATTTCTGATTTTTAAACGTCCTTACAGGTTTAAAAAGAATTTGCTCTTATGTTATCAATTCTGGGTTTTTCACTTCTATAAAAAGTAAAAGGGCTCCTGTTGAAACTATCAGAAAGAAATTCTTTCGAATTCATTTTGAGCAAAATATGTTAATTCAAAGAATTTTCAAAAGCAAAACCTTTTGGAGTTTATTAACGAGTTTATCTGTGCTATTTTGGATATCGAACACAAAACCATCGTAAGGAGGCATCGGTAAATTTAGCAATACTCGTAAACGGTGTGCGCGCTTTGATGCAACAATAGCGAGATGCGCGTAGCTCAATTGACCGCTAATTGACATAACAAACAGTATCTCTGGGACACATGACGTCACGCGGTCAATCATCGCGATACGAGGGTGATTAAGTCGTTTTTCCGAACTGATGACATTTTTCACGTCATTCCTATTTATCGATACGAGGGTGCAGCATTAATGTCGTTAGTTTCCAAATAAAAAAAGATTGATTGGCACTAATTAACGTAAAACAACTTCATTGAACGTTTCTCGAAAGAGAAAGCTTTAAGGTAGTTATTTCGTAAAATCATTTATGTGAGAATTGTTTAAAATTTTTACAGTTTATTCTTTACATTAATACGTGCAAAATAAGACTAATTAAATTAAAATTGACCGTCTCAAAGTTCTAAAAAAAAAATATTAAAGTTTGCTACGTTACACGAAATATTACGTGTAAAACACGTAAACAATTTTATTACACGTAACAATATAATTCGTTGTAATATTATTACACGTGAAATATTATTTACACATATTATTTTGTGTTAAACTATTAATATTTGCGTTTTATTATTATACGATCCACCGAGTCAATATGCAGCTTTCGGTTCGGTCGTTGATTTGCCGAATTGCGTTTTATATTCCCAACAGCGGAGACCGCGAGGAAGAAATTGAATTTAATAAGATTCTCGTGGTTCCCGCAGGCACGACCGAAGGGCGAGGGCTTGACGCCGTACCAGGGCAAGAAGCGGTGTTTCGGCGAATACAAGTGTCCCAAGTGCAAGCGCAAGTGGATGTCGGGCAACAGCTGGGCCAATATGGGCCAGGAGTGCATCAAGTGTCACATAAACGTGTATCCTCACAAGCAGGTGAACGAGGTGCCTTCCGCCCGTCGCGGTCGCTCTCCCCGCGATTAATCGTTAGATATAAAATTAGTCGGGATCCTCCCTTCTCGGCGGAGTCCGCCGGTCGGACTCGCTAAAAGACTCTTGGAACCGTTTCGCTCTCTCTCGAAATATTGCGTGGCCGAGAGAACGAAATCTTGTGTAAACCGACGCGAAAGAGCTAATTATAGTCGCATAATCGCGCTCGCTCGCTCGCTCGCCCTTTGCCGCCCCGGTGTGCAGAAATACCCGTGGTTGGAGTCACCGGTAATCGTTACGTTACGGATCCCGAAAGACGTTCGCGAAATTCCTATTATAATTGAGCTACGCGCCGTGCCGCGTACGAATACCTCGAACTAGAGACTCCCTCTGATCAGAGTCTGGCCAACAGGCCAGTTTCGGTAAAATGATGAGAGAGAGAGAGAGAGAGAGAGAAATATATTTCCTCTCACTCTACATACAGCATATACGTGTCATGTAGAATGAGAGAGAATATATTTCTTTCTCTCGCATCATTTTACCGAAACTGGCCTGTTGGCCAGGCTCTGATCACAGAGACTCTACCTCAAACGATCCCAGAATCGCTGTGCAATCGCCAAGTCTCCTAGAACATCACAAGGGATTATATCAATTCAACAATATTAATGACATTAATAACGTATTAACATAAATTATTCTCTAAAAGTAAATCAGTGGATTATCGCTGAAAAAACAGTGAATATTCACTGATTCACAGTTATATGAATTATTCAGTGCTATACTTATAACTGTTGTCAGTGATAATGCGCCGATTGACTTTTAGAGAGTAGCTGACAATACAATTTCCTAATTAAACTGTATCGAATGAAGAAGAGGTGTCTTTTATACGCGGGACGAGAGACGCTCTATAGCAAGATTTCTATTCTTATCTCTCGCGAAACGCAGAATGTAGGTGGTAAAATCGTTTCTATTATTTTCAGAGGCCGTTGGAAAAACCCGATGGTCTGGATGTGTCCGACCAGAGCAAGGTACATCCCCAGCATCTCTGCGAGAAGTGTAAGACGCTGGGCTATTATTGCAGACGTAGCGCGATAATAACTTAACGATAGCCGAATTCCGTCCAATTTATCTCGCTGATCCAATTAATCGCACCAACGAGAGGGTGAGGGTTTAATTAAGAAAAGACAATTCGTTCGATGCACTTGAACACATCGATATGGATGTGGATTTAGACAAAGTACCCACTTCTGTTCGCGAGATTAAATCGAATTACATCGTAGAAAGAGAGAGAGAGAGAGAAAAAAATGAATGATATATTTTTATGTACATTTATGAATTTTTTATCACATGAATTTTGATGACGACCAAAGATGCGGTGTTTAATCGCAGCATCTTATATTTATGTATATTGAACAATATTACCTACATAGGCACAAGGTGTGCAAGTGCCAGCAGTATAATTTTTTGACTTTTTAACATTTGACAGCGAATAATATCCGTGCACGCAAAGAAATGCGTGCTGTCCGAGTAAAAAAAAAACGAGGCCATCGTTCTCAGGGATATAATAAAATGTTCTGACCCTAGGAGCTAAGCTAATAATAATCGCGAGCAGATCTTCACGTAAAGGGAGCTGTATCGTCGAAACCTCTCCAACATGGAGAGATCTCGTGGTTTCGTATGTTCTCG